CTTTAATTGACAATCGCTCAATTCCATCGATATTTGCTCATGAAAAAAACACAGACTGACTATGAGATGGTTTTCCGCAAAATGATCGAACTGCGACCATCTCTCACGCCTGTCAGCATTCTGATTGATTTTGAACTAGGAACTATGAATGCACTGGCAACAGTATCTCCACATGCTACCGTATTTGGTTGTTTGTTTCACCTTGGTCAGTCATTTTGGCGTCGTGTACAAAACGAAGGTTTATCTAATTTGTATCGCGACGACGAGAACGTTAAATTGTACTCAAAAGTGCTAATTGCACTGAGTTTTGTTCCTCCGGAAGATGTTGTGTCCGCCTTCGACGAACTGAACGAGAGTAGACCAAACAATCTTCAGATTGTTTATGATTACTGGGAAGACAATTACGTTTGTCGTTTGAGACGCAATCGCGAGAAATCGATAAAGATTTGATCGCGCAATTGTCGAATCAAGAGAAATTCAAATACCTCGTAGTCGTATTTATCAGTAATGGTAAATTTGAGGAAGAGTTCGACCGATAAGTTGGAGTAGCCAGTGGCGATGTGCGTGAACTAGCCCAATCCGTTGTCACTAAAGCAGAGCTCAGTCTCAAAACTTAGCTCACGATGTTCAACTCGATCTTTATCCCCATGTTTACCTACGGTCATGAGTCGTTGGCCATTAATAAAAAGCTTCGAACCCAGGTACAAGCTCCTGAAATGGGCTTGCTTAGACATGTTTCGATTTGATCCGGTTAACATACATCGGAGAGAGCCTTTTTGTACAACCTCTGTTTCTCCAGATTGCGATGGTTCGGGCATGCGTGGGGAGTTCCTCCGGAAACGAAGACTAAGCAACTGTTTCCCGTTAAAACGACCGGCAGATGGCCAGGGGACAGCCAAAATTAACCTGCCGCAAATGCATGGAGGAGTCTGTTATAGACTCCAGTTGTCTTCTGCCGATGTTCTAAGAGTATCAGAGGATCAGGGTTGGAAGCATTGTCTGACGCGTCTGCCTCCGCGACCCCAAAATAGAGGTTACCATGGAAGTCGAGGATGAAGAAGATGAAGATATTTGAATATTAGAAACCAGCACGCAATAATCGATACCTATACTCGGCGTCATGTGTCCTTCTTGAACTACTTAGGAACGTGATGAAAAAGATGCATTTGCGTGTCAAATAGACTTGCAGTAACAGTTCTGGTCTAAAGGCAGAAATCCAACATCTTCACCCACCGTTCCTGAAGTTCGGTTACTGAATGAAGATCCTCGACGACGAATGTCTGCAGCCCAGCACAAATTTGAAGTTGATCAGTTCATATGGGCCAATGGTAATTTAACCGTCCATACCGAAAGTATTTCAACGTATCACAATGTGCCTTAACGACACGGGACTTTAGGTCCACTGCAAGATTGGGAAAATATTAGAGATCTCATTTAAAAAGTACATGTCCATTAATAACTCTGAAAAAGTGTTATATATTGCCTACGAGGGTCAGTGCAGGGTTTGCTATATTGTATACATTGGAATGATCAACCGGAAATAGAACATCCGGATAAAAAGACATCTTTCTGCGGTTCGCCTTTATCAGGCTGACAATTCCGGTATCGGCCAATTTGTGATTGCAGAAGGGTATTTTTTCAGTAAGACAAAAATGACAGTTATAGACAAAAGTATCTAAAATAAGTCTGTTGATAGATGAGCCCTTGCATCCAGTGACAGTGAGAAACCGGATGTGCAATGGAATACAGATCTTCTGTATTCATTAGGGAAAGGTGAGGGACGACTGCAAAATTGATAGGAAAAATCGCGTTAGCACAAAAATGATCCGATT